GGGGAAAAAAAAAAAAAAAAAAAAAAAGGGAGAGAGAAGGGGGGGTAGATCTATCTGGATCAGGACGAGGACACCTCGGATTCACTCGGCGCGGAGGAGAGAGAGAGAGAGAGAGGCAGATCCAGGAGGCTCGACCCAGCTCGGGATAATCCAGGCGCGGCGCCCCCTCCCCGGGGGCAGCGCCGCTCCGGGGCCCCGCTCCGGCCGCCGCCGCGCACCGCCGGGGGGGCCGCCAACGCCGCCGCGCTCGCCGCCCAACTTTCTTGCCGTGGAGCGAGCGAGACAATCCCTGGGCAGCCCCCGCCGCCCGCCGCCGCCGCCGCCGCCGCCGCCGCCGCCCGCCGCCGACCCCTCCTCGCCGGGCGCCGCCGGCGGCTCGCAGCCCCCCGCCGGCGCGGCGCGGCGCCCCCGCCGCCGCCGCCCGCTGCCGGATGGCGCTCGCCCGCCCGCCCCAGCCCGGCCGCCCGCGGCGCGGCGCAGCCCCGGCCCCCAGAAGCCGCTCAGTCGGCGCTGCCCGGATGCCGCCCCATTCTCCCCGAGCTGGGACGCGGCGCTAGCACCGCCCGGCCGGCCGCGCATGAGCAGGGCTGCCAGCTGCGCGTCATTCCCCGGCGCAGGCCCGGCCGTGCCCCCGGCCCCCCCTCCTTCCTCCTCCTCCTCCTCCTCCTCCTCCTCCTCCTTCCCGCCCCGCCGCCGCCTCGCCTCCTCTCCTCTCCTCTCAGCCCGGGCCGGGGGCGCCGCCGCCCGCCCTCGCCTTCGGGAAAAGTTTCTCCCGGCCCCGGGACCCCCTTGCCCCGCTCTCGCCTGGCGGGGCCGGGTGAGCCCCGGGAATGGACGGGGGAGGCACCGCCGGCTGCCCCGCGGGGCGGGAGAGGGGCTGGCCTGGATGGAGGGGCGAGTGCGGGGCACGGGGGCGAGCCCGGGGCGAGGGGCGAGCGGTGGGGCCAGGGATGAGCTGCGGGATGGGCTCGGATTGAAACGCTGAGCCGAGGGGCGAGGAGTGAGGTGAGGGACAGGCTGGGGGTCAGGGGGTGACCCAAGGACAGGGAACGAGCTGCGGGATGAGTTGAGGGTTAAACGATGAACTGAGGTGCGAGGGATGGGCTCGGGGAGGAGCTGGGGGTTCAGGAGGACACAGGAAGAGCTAGGGACGAGCCAGGGAACAATCTGTGGGTCAGGGGACAAGTCAGGGGGTAGGTGGTAATGGGGGGGCAGAGCAGAGGGGCTGGACAGCCAAAGCTGTAGGTGGGACATGGAGCAGTGTAAGGCAACCAAGGGTTAAGACTCATACAGGTGGAGGCAGGAGACCCTGTTCAGTACACCCTGCTCAGCATCCATTCATCTTGCTGAGGTTTCATTTGGGCTCTGCAGTGCCAGGAAGAGACTGTAGTTACCGTCTTGTTTCCCTGCATTTTCAGACTCTCTCCAGGGTCACCTTAGCCAAGACTTGGTTCCCAGGCACTCACCTGAGACAGGGACCAGCTTGGTGGCCAACCAGGTAGCTGTGAAATGCCCTGTCCCAGGGACAGCACTGAGGAAGGTGTGCCTGGATCAGGGCCCCAGCACAGAGCACTGACTATCCTACGTATCACAATGGTGGCAGGACTTAATCCTCCTGTTATCATCTTTTATTGCACACTGTCAGATATTGCAGCACGTTACCATCACTTCTGGGTACTCCCTTCCTTGTGTGGGGCTGGCTTTGCTCCGCTGGACTAACTTGGCTTAATTCCTTACATCTTCAGCTGCTTTCTCCTCTCCTAGGGTGTAGCCTCCAGTTCTGAAGGTGAGAGACGTTGGAAGGATGCCGTGAAATAAAACCTAATGAAGTCCACCGAGATTCATCAATAAAGGAAGGAATCCCTGGAGGAGATTCAGTGTTACCGGGAGCCGTGGAAGTGAGGGAAGCCAAAAAGTCTCCTGCAGCCTGCTCCCACTTGTGTTGCAGTTCAGTCATCACCAGGGATGGTGGCTTCCTCGGGCTGGTGCCTCCAGCAGTGGCAGACTGGCAGCTGTGTGTCTAACACACCCGTCAAAGGCTTCGGCGTCGCCACCTCAGTGTCCACCTTTCCTCTTGTTTTTCCGTATTCCTGATCTAATTGCACCAGCAGAGCAGTCAAAAATTAACCTCCTTCCACCTGGCCCAAACAGGCTCTTTTTGAAGAGTTTCTGGTGTCTGGCAACAGCTTTGCCCCGCCTTACATGGGCAAGTGCTAAAATAAATATCATCCTCTTAAAATGTAGCATAGAAACGTCATTTAAATTTAAGCCATTTAAAACCAAAGGTAGAAATCCCATGTGTAGTGCAAAGCCTCTTAATGCAAATAGTCAGTCATGCATTGCATGCCTCAATCACACTCGTATCAGTGTCATTTGTGTCCTAATAAAATCCTATAATCTTTTGCGTGCCAATTAAAGAAGGAAGATAGCTAAGTCTAGCTGCTTCCTCGGGTAATTACAGGCTAGCGGGGAGTCAGACAGTTATCTGTCCTGGGTTTTGCTGGACTGTGGATTACCAAAGGGTATTTTCTCTCCAGTTTCTCTAAGGGACAGTACAATACGTTTTTTTTTAACTGTAGGGTGTTTTAAAGGCAAAACCCGGATCCAGGCAATGGTTGTTAATGAAAGATCTAGAGTTTAGATACACCCAGTTAAACAGTGGATTGAGCTTAACAATTGTGTTTGCTTTACCAATATTTTAAGAGTCACTTTTTAGAAAGAAGCATTTATATTGGGTTCAGTAAGTTATTTTTACATCTAAGTCTGTCCTTTAATTTAAAAGGTAATTTCTGTGTTTCTTATAAGTACATCACAAGGGTAAGTCATTAAAAAAGATAAACTGTGGCATTTTTAACAGTTTCTCTTGGTAGTGCTCATCTCAATCCCATTGTGCTTTAGGCCCTCCATCATTAATATGCATTTCTAGTTCTCTTTTTTTCATTCCCTTCCAAATTTGCTGACCAACAAGGACAGTGGAAATTGCCTGTAAAGTTCCCTTCTTTATTTCCCATCAGCAGGGTCATCAAGATTCTCATCCCGCTTACGTGTTTACGTACAGGAGTTTAATGTCACTGTGAACATAAACCAAAGGTGCCTTCTGGGGAAAGTTGTGAATACTATTATTTTTTTCAATCGACTCCACAAATTCATCAGCGCTGTGATTGTCCACAGCTATCCTCATTTTTGTACGTACGTATATTTCATTGAAAGATTCAGCAGAAGGGTCATCCGGAGGAATTAACCAAATCGAGCAGTCCACGTGGGAAGGGATGTCTCTGCTTGAAACAGCATCTCTGAATCAATCATGCCTTTCCTTCCACCAAGGCAATTTCACGTTTTCAATAGACGGCAGACCTGCAGTGGGCTTTTTTTTTTTCCCCCCCAGCATCAAATGGCATTCCACACAATGATATTCATCACGTTATAACTCTAGGTGAATGATAATGGATCAGAGGGAATGAAAACAGATGGATGTTAAAACAGACAATTCCCCACCACAAACCTGGGAGCCCTCCACTGCTGCCTAGTCCATTCATTCAGTGGATAATTGTATTAGACATTCCAACAATAGAGAGGCCTTCTTCATTAATCCTGAATTTACTGAAAAGAAGCTTTGCAGACTATAGCTCTTTCGGTGCTCGGACAACACCAGGCAAAATTTACCACAGGCTTAAATGTCTAAAACTCAGCTAGATAGAAACTAGCACAGAAAATTCCCAAAGCAAGAGAGATGGGTGGGTGAGGCCAGGGGGCAGGACAGCCCAGCAGCAGGTGCTGCAGGTGGGCAGGAGACACTCGAGTGCCTTTGCTGCGGCTTAGGTGGTACCCAGGAAACTTATCAGAAAGCTTTCCTCTCGCTGGAGAGCAGGCACAGCTGAACTTATCAATACTGTGCCTGGGTTTGATCTGATTGTCCCTTTCCAGCCTCCAGCTCACCACATGAGCCAGTGAATGCCAATCCCTGCCATGTGATGGGGCACAACCGTTCCGTAACCCTGGTGTGCATCAGGTGACTGGGGCTAAGCAATACAGATCAAGTCTCTTACCAGCTGTCCTGTGAGTCAGACCCTTGATTACAATATTGACATTAACATTTTAATCACATGCGTGCTGCTGCAGATTTTAATGACCGAGTTGCTATGCCTCTGCTTTTTGAGGATCAGAAATTAGGCCCTTGTTCGTGGCTGGAGCGAGCGCGGCATCAGAGCAGCAGCTACCATGGCAGTAAACATGGCACTGCTCTTGCCACGAGCCTGCCCCTGGACATTAACCTTGCTGGCACTGAGCACCTCACTGGAATGGGGACTTTGTTCTCAGTTACTGTGTTCCTGTGTCTGGGGCAGGACTGGAAGTTATGAAAAGAGGAGAAAGGCGGTGCTTTGGTGTTCTCCGTAGCCTGAGGCGATGTGAAAATCTACCCAATCCCTGTGTAACTATCATTTTCGATTCGCAGGTGCTTTAATCAGGGCAGAGTAAGCCAGAGACATTTCCTTCATTCAGTGGAGCTGCAAGCAGGGCAGCTATTGTACCTCTTCTGCCATCAGAGATAGGCAAAAACTTCGGTGCAAATGAGAATCAGACCCCAAATCTGCATTGTTCCTCTCGCCCCAAACGTGCTCCACAATCTATTGCAAAAGCTGAGTCTGCAAGGCTTTGCTCTGTTAAAGACTGTCATGTCCAAGGTGGAAGGACAAGCAAAAGGTCAGAATAAATAAACTGAATACAAAATTGCTTGAGGCAATAAAAAGACACCACAGGCTTTCGTTGCAGCTCTGGCATGCACCAGAACACACTTCAGAACATTAAATAAGCTGGTTTTTGTGTCACTGAGCTTAGATGTTTTCTATTGTTTCTCCCCCTGCTACCCCAATACTTTGCTAAAATGATCAGGCCTTAAATGCTTGGTATCCCTTCCACAAACATGGGCTGCCTTTATCACTTGCTTCATCATGGTCATTTGCACTGAAAATACATAATCACTGTCAGAGTACAAAGAATCATTACGAATAATTAGTTACTTCCAATATGGCAAGTCAGTCTCATAAATCTTGAATATTTGGCTTTGGTTTGGGAAGGAGATTCCTTAATGGCTACACTTGTGAGACTCTGTTAATTGATATAAAATTGTATTCAAAATTAAATTTGTTTTAACAGATCTAAATCACCCCAATAAATCAGCTTCAGCCTATCTGCTCCAAGGGTTCAAGTACACTTTTTTTTTTTTTTTTGCCTTTGGGAGAAAGGGTTTGCAATCAACGCGTGGAGGGCTGGATCTGCCCTAACGCTGACCTGGGGTGATCTTGCTGGTCTGAGAAGTCATAAAGGAGGGGGTAGAAGGTGCAGCCTCCCTCCCCAGCCCAGCGGTGGTGGCTCTGGGACACTCAAACCTTCTGCCAGGCAGGTGTGAGGGGAAGGTGGGGTTCTCTCCAGGCTCAGCTCACAGCCAATGCTGTGGTGCAGCCAGGGAGTAAGAAAGGAACTGCCTGTCTCTGTTCCAAGGGGGCAAAGGAGAGGGAATTTTAATGAGAAAGGGAAGGAGTTCAAGTCTATCTGTAATAGTCAGATATTGAGGTTTTATGTTATTATGGGTAATAGCAGTGTGAATGGTAGTTCTCATGATGCTTTTTTTTTTTTTTCTTCAGAGAAACTGTCGTTTTCATCTGATATCATGGGGGAGAGAAGGTGACAGTTAATAACAATAGCTTAATTTTACTTGACTGTGTGTACTCTATTTAGCTCCTGAAATTGTTTCAGGACAGGATGTTATTATCTTTATCCTTATTTTAAACCGTAGAAATGGTGCTACAGAGACAAAAGCCCAGTATTCCTCTCCCATAATGTCTTCAGCAGGCTGTCTTCCTCACCTAGGCAGCGGTGAGCCCAAATGCTTCCCGAGATCCTGTGTGGTAAAAAAATCTGTCGGCAGAATTCCCCATTTGCATCCTGTCTGCTGCTACTGTCTGTTATCTTAAATCTCTCTCTAATTTTTTTTTTTTTTTTCTCCCCCAGAGATTCTTTCTTGCCTACTTCATCTCAGCGAAGCTCTCCCCACCCTGCTCCTACCTGGGTTGTTGCCTGTATTTTTTGCCTGTGTGATCTCCCTCAGGTTCTGGCTGTCGAACTCGTTCCACGTGGGCAGGCTCTGACTGCTGCCTGCAGCCCTGTGGAGTGGGGGTGCTCTGTGCCCGGGATTTGCATGGCGTGGGGTGGATTTCCAGGAGGCTGTGAGCCTCACAGGGGATGTGCTGCCTCTTGCTCCCCGTGTGCAGAGCCTGAAAACTGCCGTGCCTGTTGTCGGGCCCTGCAGCATAATGATCTCTGGTAAATGCTGCGCCTTGCTTGACCGGGGATGCCTAAATCCTGTTGGGCTCAGTGATCTATTTAACGATTCTTTCACTTGCTTTGACAACGTTTCTGGTGCACAGCCTCCATCTCCAGTGCTCAGTGTGTCGTGTGGTGTAGGGTGTTTAGAGGTGAAGAAAAGTGGAAATCCATCAGCTTTATTAGGTGCAACTGTTACAAATGTTGGGAAATTTTCCTTGGATAGGAGTTGCTTCTGTTTCCGTGTCTTGTAGGCTGTGCTCAATTTACTCTTAAATTTGTTAAAGTAATAAAGTTCATTTTAATCCCTCAGTGTATATTATCAATCAGCTAGTACTTCAAAGAAGAAAAATAATTGGGAAAAAAAAAACAGGCAAACAACAAAATCCTTACCTACCCACCTTGGGAAACCTGAAGATTAAGACTCTAAATATTATTTTCTGTTCTAAGTCTAGAAAGTGGGGGAAAAAACTAGAGAAAACTAACTCAGAGGAGATATATTTGGCAGTCTACAACTTGCAGAGCTCTCCTAATAAAGGCTGGCAGGGTGTGCAAATGGAACTTAACACATGGCCATGATAAACAGGTGCTAAAACATTTCTGCAGTATTTCTTCCATTAATATTTTGTCTCTTTAAAGCAACCGTCAGGAAGATGTGTCATCTTAATTACAGTATCTGGAAGCAAGGAATGTACTGGTAGCTATGGAACTTGCTAATAAAGGCTTGCCTGCAGTGGGGATTTTTGCTCTCCCTGTACCAGCAGCGGGCTAAGCACGAACACAGACTGGCAAAATCACAGTGATACATAATTTACACTGGGTCAAGTTACCCTTCGTGGCAAGTAGATGAGCTGGACAAGTGTTAAACAGGGCTTCATCCTCACTGCTGTCTATGCTTATAATGGGAAATTTATTCCCAGAA